TATTTGATTGGTAGTAAATAATTTATGTGTGAATATTACAGAAAATGTATAGTAATGATTGATTATATTTTTTAATTGTATTGATAAAATAGTTTATAAAAATATAAATAAATGAATGGTACTTTTTTCAAAATATAATTATCAAATCATAGTTCTATTAGAAAAAATATTGGGTGAGCCGAAAGTAAATATGTTAAATTAGCGAATTGAACCTTATTTAGAGAGTTGACCCGTCAAATTCCTTAATTCATTTGTTCTTTAAATATCTTATTTGTTCAAATTGTTGTATCATTATATATCTGAAAATTCCCTCATACAATCGTCTATTATCTATAGCTAGCTAATATCTCATGTAAATCTATTAAATGTTATTTATAATAGATTTATTTAATTAAGTGATTCACAAACTCTAGTTCATAAATAATTTACGTAATGTATTAATATCATTTTCATACAAACTAGTACAACACCCGTGTATTACACGGGTGCTTGCTTTTTTTTTGTTTAATCCAAAATTAATGAGAAAAAGTAATTTGAAAATTTAAATACCTTATATAAGAATATATATTATTATATATTTATTATGACACTTTTTATGTGTGCGACTTATCTGTGTTATATTATATTAATTTTTTAACTTACAATATATAACTACATTAAATAAATATATATATCTAATGAATTTTAATAGGTATTATTATTTTTTATTATTATAAAGATAAATATAATTTATTTATTTCATATATACAATATGGATGTCAAATAGAAGATCATAAAAAGATGATTAATTTGATATATTATATATGTAAAACCGATAAGAAATACAAAAGTTATCAACTTTTAAAATACATTTATAATTCAATAGCTTATCGAAGGAAACAAATCAAAATTCAGGGATATTTTAGTCACTTAGTGACTCACTATATAAAATTATAAAGAAATAAAAGGTTATATTAGTACAAGTGATATTAAAATACCTAAGTTAGTTAAATAATATTTATGGAATACCCGAACCTAGATTATTAATTATTAATATATCAATATTATTTGTCCAAACCTAATTACGAAGCATGATTTTTCGCCAAGTAGGATTCCGAAGCACTAGAAACAGCCACGTAGGCTCAGCGCATTCGGGAATTATATATAAGGAGGATTTCAGATTTTTCAATACTATGTGAAGATTTTATTTACATAATCGTTTCTTTTATTAAAGTAGTTTTTATTCAGTGATTTGTAAATCTTGATTCAAATGTAAGATTTCTTCATTAGTATTTCACTAAAACGCTCGTGTATTACACAGGTGCTTGCTAATTTTTTCTTTAAAATCTAAAACTAATAAGAAAAAATAGTTGAAAATTTAAAACCTTTTACAAAAATATATATATATATATTATTATATATTTAGTATGAAACTTTTTATTTGTGCGACTTACTTGTGTTATATTATAATAATTTTTTAACTTACAACATATAACTACATTAAACATAAATAGATCAATTGAGAAATAATTTTATTTTTCTAATGAATTTTAATAAATATTATTATTTTATTTATTATAAAGATAAATATAATTTATTTATTTCATATATACAATATGGATTTCAAATCGAACATCATCAAAAGGTGATTAATTTGATATATCATATATATAAAACCGATAATAAATACAAAAGTTATCAACTTTTAGAATACATTTACAATTCAATAGCTAATTGAAGGAAACAAATCAAAAGTCAATGATATATTAGTCACTTAGTACCTCACTATGTAAAATCACAAAGAATTAAAGGGTTATATTAGTTCAAGTGATATTAAAATACCTAAGTTAGCCAAATAATATTTATGGAATGTCTAAACCTAGATTATTAATTATTAATATATCAATATTATTTGTCCAAACCTAATTACGAAGCATGATTATTCGCCAAGTAGGATTCCGAAGCACCAGAAACAGCCATGTAGGCTCAACGAATTCGACAATTATATATAAGGGGAATGTTTTTCTATTTATCTATAAATATATAAAAAAATCAAACATTTACTAAGCATAAAATGAACACTTTAAGAAAATAATGAAATTTCAATGAAAAAATCTAACGACAAAATACCAATGGAAAACGGCAATTCCAATAGGTATTTTAATACTAGAATTTTACAATGGGTTCCAACGAAAATTCTAACAAAAATATTTTATCAAAATAAATTTTCTATTGGAATTTTATTAACTATGAACAGTTATACTTTTCTTAACTATGCACAGTCGTACTTAATTATTCTATAATGTTACATGATGATAATAAGATAACAGAAATTCTATGGCACTACATGTGGCACCATATTATGGTGCCACAACATGATGTGACACATTATGATTAGTTTTCTTTATCACACATCATGTTGTGGCACCAATCATAATGTGCCACATCATGTTATGGTCATATTAGAAAGATTTTTTTTTGTAATTGGTCATATTTTATTTTCTTTCATATATACATTTTTTTTTTTGGTCAATGCATGTCCGTCTTCTCCAACGTGTTTCAGTCCAATTGCATCAATTCGTTATCAAATTTCTTAAATATTAGTTACAATCTTTCCAACCATTATCTATTATAGTTGTCCGTAATATTTGCTAAATTAACCAAAAAAGTCTTGATTATTTAAATCTTAAAACTTAGAAGAATATCATATTTTTTATTCTTTATTTGCAATATTCTATTTTAATTAACCAATCATTATTATACCCATTATTTACGTGTTGTTATTTTCTTTTGTTTACCATCATGATTATATCCGCTATCCATAGTTTAGTTATTTCTACCATTATTTGATTTATTTATAAGAATGCAATCGATCAAACCCCCACATACACCACCACTTCGAACTCGGCCAACACCACTGATCGTGGTCCAATCTGCACGACCACCCCTCAACCTTCACACCAAGGGATCGGGATACAGGGAGCAAGACCACCGCTCCTCAACCCCGGTCGCCCCG